ATTTCTTTGAAATATCAAAAATGTCATTCGCACATCGCAGACCAACGTGTACGGTCCCGGAAAACTTGAGAACGATATCGAGGGTTCCTCCGTTCAAGTCTCATGGAGATGAGAGATGCTATAACGTGTAGGTTTCCATTATTTTATTCGTTTGGTCAGCAACTTTACCTACGCTGCCACGAGCAGCACCGAATCTCCGTTTGCCACCCACGAGTCCATCACTCGCGAGGGCTGGAAGGGAATGAACATTTTCATGCTATGACTCGCACCTTGATCCAAGCTGAACGCAGTTCGTGTGCATTGAGTCCAGAACGACAATATACTGCATACCGGTTGGTAAGGCAAGCAAGCAAAGACAGAATAAGCAACCACTCTCTGGTAGTATTTGTTCTCCTAAAATCCACCATGGGAGTGATTGATAAAGAGAGGGGAGAGAGACGCCAAACAAAGCCTGAAGTCGTCGCTTTGTCGGCGGAGCTTCTCGAATTTCGGAAAGGGAATTGAGAATATAATGAAACCTAGCACTCAACCTTATCTTCGTATTCTTTCTCTCTTCGGTAAAGCCAGACCCCCCCCCCCCCCCCCCCCCCCTCCACAAGATTCAATACAGCGTTTGGCTTAGGCCGAATCCGAGAACTGTATTGAGGCCGGGTCTAGACCGGCCCTTTTTTGCTTCAAAATAATCTCAACCCAAGTTATGGGGCCAATGAGACCCGCAAGGGCAAATATCGGGGTTTTCAAGACATCTCAGAAAGGACGTATGACGTTACGAAAATCATTGGCCTATTTCGATCTTTACTGACTGTTTCGTTGAAGACGTGTTTCGCTGGCTATCTGGTTATCCGACTTCCTTCAACATTGAAATGCACGCTTGACGCCATCCCGCTCATCCAGGAATGCCAGTGAACAATATCTCCATACCTCACCACATTTATTGGCCACCGCAAACCATTATTTTATTTTTCATATTTTATGTTCCATTACTTTTCCTCATTCTATGAACTCAGCAAGAAAACCTATCATGCGTTAATAATATAATGAGCAGAGCATGAGTGGGCAGCGAAGCAAAATTGGGAGTCATGAATCTAACGCAACTCAAGCCTGACATCTGGAAGCCGTGGGGGGCGGATTGAAGCCAGCACATTAGGTTTAAATAAGCCGCATGTAAGTAATTTTTCATGGAGGAATGGTGCTTCATCGGCAACGATATTCGACAATGGTCTTTCGAATGCTCTTGAATACCGTCGTGGGTTTGTGATAAATCCTGAAACTCTCTTCTTCTTTCATTAGGGCCAACATCGCCAGAAAATCAGCCCTGGGCTGATTTTCATCTTTAAATAATATTATCGTGGGATTACAATGTATTGCGCTTTGCTGTAAGAAGGAAAAAAATCAGGTGCACTATGTACGAAATCCCAGAGGCGTGTCTTAGTTTATTCACAGGCGACTCACTGGGTTGGCGACTGAGGTGCCATCTTAAATCGGTAATACGAACCTTACTAATACATGAATATCCAACTGCTTCGCCAAATGATATCAAAAGGACAATAGGATAGCATCCTTATCAGATTACTGAAAAGGCGAACAATACATGGACCTCGGATAAACTAAGCCTCTGGAAATGTTGCAAATCGAGATAAGGAGACGACAAGATTTCATCTTCGATTTCATCTTCGATTACCCCCTCCTTCGCAAGATTGGGCCGAGGGAGGTGCGTTACGATTGGGAGCTACTGGAACATGACTACGACCCTGTTTTTGTAGTCGAGTCAGAGCACCCCATGGGGTGAGGAATAGTGATTTGGCAGGGGTAAGCAAAGAGGGATGAGGATGACTCCAGACTTTTACAGTGAAAGGATTAATGCATTCCCCGACTGAGCTCACATGCACCCACCTGATTTTAAGGAGAGCCTGCACACTCTTAGGCGTGCTACGCGAGCATACTAGGGAGGGAATGAACGTGAAGAGGGGAAAATGATCATGCAAGTGCATGCACACCCATTTTGCAAGAATCGCAAACCATGCACTCACGTTTATCATTTGCTATGTAGTCTGGATGGTTCGAGGAATTCCTGATTGGCCTAACGTTCCACGTTCAAACCGAATTGGGTTATGAAACTCCAAAGCGGCTCATAATTACTCTAATGCCACTCATCCTCACAGTAGACTCCGACATCAACCCTAATAGGCCTAATTTTCCCCATAAGTCGAGGGTTGAAGTTCATTTAAAGGGGAAACGGTAGGCCTAGGTCTGATCTAATGTCATTTCGTTGGTTAGGCCGAAGCTGAATGTTAGTGAGTCCCGTAGAGGAGGAGGAAAATAGTCCTCATATTTCTTTGCACTTCTTTTGTTGGGCAATCTCCTCCTAAAGCAACCCAGGAGGGGCAACCTACTTGTGGTGGGGGCCTACAAGTAAATCCCAGGATTAAATTTACATTTTCCAAAAGCGAGATTCTGCGTTCTGACGACAAGAAATGCTATCAAAGAGGAATGAGATCAGGTGGAATATTGCAATAGGAATGGATTGAAGAAAGCGAACAGGTGCAAATGTGTCTAATGATCTACACTTTAATATGAAAAGTGCCCTTCGATTTAAAGCGAAATTCTCTGGTAGAGAAAACAATTTCTGCGCCGAAAGGTGCCAGCGAGAAACTGCCCTTTAGGTCCGCAATTTTCTTTTTCAGCCAAAGCTTGTGTGGTGACGAGACTCTGTGAATACAACGAGCCGAACTTCGGGAACATTTCTCCTCGACTGGCCCTGACTCACCCGGAATTCATGGAAATGCATGGAGACATGGAGCGCATTCCGCGAGAGAGGCCCTGACCTTGAACATTCCCCGCCGTGGGGGGTATGGAGGCCTACAGCAGACTGAACTGCGATAAGTGGGATGCATCTCCGTCGCCTCCGGCGAACTTGGCAGAAGTCCAGGCCACCATAGAAACGCAGAGGGAAACGAGGGACACACGATTGCGCGCCTCTCGTTGAGTCGGTTCATTCACCTCCTGTCTGCTGGTCGCTCAACGTCCTGCTCATTCTCGTTCCTGCACAATGGCTTCCACTGCCGGACAGGTCAGAACTATTTCCTCATCAATCCCTCATCAATCAGTATTTTTCGACGAATCCGTCCAGATGTAATTTGTAGTTAGAGTGATGATGGCAGACTATTGTTACGGACGGGGGATGGAATGGAGACGGACGACGGAAGGCATGAGAGGCCGAAAGAAAGCCCGGGAACGGCCGAGACTTGAACCCGGCCCTCCTGATTGCCGGTCAGGTGTGCTACCACTATACCACCGAACCCGGGACATTCAGTCGTGCCTCTCGATGCCATCCTCATCCGTCACAATATCTACTTCATCATAATAATGGTCGGTAGCACTATGTTAATAGCGGGAGTTCTGACCGTTATTATAATTATTATATTAGTGTTGAGAATTCTCATTCCCATTCTAAGAGCTTGGGAAGCCTGTCACCTATATTGACGCAAACCATTGACGTAATTTTAGTACCCCTCTGTCGAGTTCGCGACAATGAATCGTCTTCCAGGTGGAGATGCCTAATAATGCCTGGTTTGCGTCAATATGGTGATAGGCATCCCGAGCTCTTAGAATGGAATTGTCTCTGCCTTTCTCCGTCCAAGTATGTCAGCCCGTGACTGGCATTTCTCTGTTCCTTCTCTCGTAAATGTTTCCTTCCCGATCGCGAACTATGGTTCCACGATTGCTAGTACACATATTGCTTCTGTTGCGCGATACAAAAATTGCACTCAATAATGGTAATTATTGCGTTATTTATCAAGTCTTGCATGCTTATTTTTGCCTTTTTTCGTATTTCGTCCACAAAATGGAGCTGACTCGGAAATAAAAGCCATACAGTGGCTGCATGCATGTTTATGCCTCCATCTTTGATAGGATTTGAAATCTCCCGATAATTACCAAATAAGTTTCGATAATGCATCTCATTTCTGGAAATAGCTGTTTAGCGTGAAGTACAAGGATATGCTGTCTTTCAATGTACCTCGTAGCCTCCTTGTAGTAACATAATTTTTAGCCACGGTCGTACAATTCCGTGAAACAAGGATGCAGGCCGTTTTTTGTCAACAGCTTCAGTGTTGCCGTAGCTGTCGATTGCGCATCCTTTACTTCATCAAATCGGCGACCCTTGATGTGACACTTCAGATGCAGTAAGAGGAAAAAGTCACATAGAGCCATTCGTAACGAGTATCCCGTACGGAGATGAACACTTTGATCTTCACGAGGTAGGTCGCCACGTTGACTGATGTGTGGGTCGGATGTGTGCTGTCATCAAGTAGTCACTCTCTAGATCCCCAGTTACGTGGCCGCCTGAACGTTGGATGACATTTTAATGGGATGTCCAAATCATAGTGCCCCAAAGTGCACTATGGATTGGGAATAATATTTAAAAAATGGTCTGCAACCCTGCTTTACCTAACTGCCTGAACGTGGTATAAAAATTGCGTGAATACCCAAGGGAGAGCGGCTTGAAGGGCATCATGTCCTCGTGTTGTACCTCACACTTAAGAGGTATTTCCGGAAAAAAATATGCGTCGGAACCTTGTGATTCGCCCTCGCAAGATACCTGAAATACTTATGCAAATAACGTCCTGTCCAATCTTCCCTTTAGTCCGTGAGAAAACCAGAACCAAAGACCAAAAGGGAAATTTCAGCTAATTTGCCATTTTCTTCCCTGAATAACGTCAGATGAAACTAAATAAATCGTAATTGAAGTGTGGGAAATGAGGTGCTTCTCATTTGAAATCGATATTGAACATAGGCTGGTTCTCTTAGATTCTTCGCGAATCCGTTGTTTAATAAATTAACGTAGTCCTACTTACCATAATCGAATAGACCTGTCCTTAGCAAGTTGGACACTTCCATGATGAAACATCAAAATGTATACATGATTTTTTATTCCTTTGCCTTTCAATCGTCTCTTAATTGATGGTCCATGAAATTCTCGAGGGGAATATTGCGTCAAAATGCAGTTCGTCACGGGGTGGGAATCTTAATTGCCTTTGAACCCAGTTTCATTGAGAAAAAAATTGTTTGCGATATATGAGTCCCCGTCTGACATAATTTTCTTCCATTTAAATGCAGGTTATCAAGTGCTTAGCAGCTGTGGCATGGGAACCGAATAAACCCCTAAGCATCGAGACTGTGGAGGTTGCACCTCCCAAGACACACGAGGTAATTCTTCACTGCCTCTTTTCATTGTGGCAGCTTGGACTTCTGCAGAAGTAAACCTGTTCGAGCAAGTCTTTATTGTTTTGCCTTTAAGGTGCGGGTGAAAATCCACTCAACGGGGGTGTGCCACACAGATTTGTCGACTTTGTCGGGTATTAACCCCGATGGTCCGGGTAACCTGTTCCCAACCATCCTGGGTCATGAGGGCGCCGGGGTCGTCGAAAGCGTTGGTGAAGGGGTCACTAATGTTATGCCAGGTAATATACTGTATATCTGCAAGCAAATATGGGTGGAAAATATTTGTTTGAGGTTAGTTCAAATGATGGATTTATAAGTAGAAAAATTAAGCAATCGCCATTTTTTTCTAACAGCAATAACTTATATCAATATCTGTAGCGTTTCTCGTTTCTAATCATAACGTTTTCGTCATGGACACATTCAATGACTTCACCCTTAGCGGACGGTCCCAAGGTGTTACCCAATTGTCCTTCAAAGTCAGGTGATAGTAATGAATGTGGTACTGTCTACCGATCAGCACGGCACTCCCGCAAAAGAGAATGATCTGCAGCGCAGCAAACCGAGCCGTGAGAAAGAAACTTTTGGAATCAGGAAGAAGATTCTCCGAAAATGAGAATTGTGTCATATTTACCACTTGGGAGATTCGGAATTCCCATAGCTTCCACAAAAACCCACGATACATCAAGCAGACACCAATGTTTGTAACCTATTCGCAAATCTCACACCACTCGATTCCATCCATAGGAGATCATGTGATCCCGCTGTGGCTGCCGCACTGCGGCACATGCCATATGTGCTTGTCTGGAAAGACGAACATATGCGAAAAGGCATTCGCGACTCTCCTGAGCGGGATGCTCCTGGATGGCACCTCCCGCTTCACCTGCAATGGCAAGATCATCCACCACTACGTGGGCACCTCCACCTTCTCGCAGTACACTGTCCTCCCAGATATATCCGTCGTAAAGGTGAGAAGAAACTCCAAATGATCGCTTCCACTTTCAACCCTGTGTCACTTTGTCCGCGGCTTTCGATTGACGAGAATCTAAAGAGTGTGAAATAATATATGAGCGAATATAATATTGGTGGAAGAACCTTCCACACGTGATGGGTGTTAGATGAAAAACACCATGTCCCCCATGCATGCCTCAACCAGTAAATGAGCCAATGATTAAATCATCGTTTCACATTAACCCTCTTGGAGATGAATACTGAGAACTCGTAACTCATGAACTTCCGAAGAAAGTTCTTTCTTTAAAATGTCGCTTCTTTTCCCCCTATTGTAGGTGAACCCATCGGCCCGCCTGGATCGGGTGTGTTTGATTGGCTGTGGGATCCCGACAGGGTATGGGTCTGTCTTGAACACAGCGAAAGTGGTGGAGGGCTCATCGGTGGCAGTCTGGGGACTGGGCACCATAGGCCTCGCGGCTGTTATGGGGGCCCGGAAAGCCAAAGCCAAACGCATAATNACTATGACTATGAGAGAGGACGCGCAATCGCGCAATGCGTGCGTGTATCATATGTGCGCAAGCGCATGCCACCGATGGAATCAATACTTAGGTATGATACTTATTCTGCACATGTGCAAAGCACTTGTCACACATTGCCTTCTCACACATGGTAAAGTTGTCATGCGTCTTGTTCCCCCTTATCCTGATTATAGTAATTTTCATTATTTAGGCTTATTTCATTTTCGTTTCTAGATTCAGCTTCAGATAAGTACTGTAATAGCTGCAAGCATTGCATGCAGTATCACGATGTTTTTTGCATGTCACCCAATGATCGAGACTCATCGAAATTTCTTATTATCCTGCTTTTCTACAAATCATCAATGCCATATTTTATATCGTATATTAGCCTACTTCATCTCGTCGATATGCTGGAAATGGTTTTTCCAATTCCATTTCTATCTTTGCTAGAATACGCTTGTTTCCCATTCGTTTTTTCCAGGCTTAAAAGCTGAATCAGCTGGATTTAAAATGGAATTTAAATGATGTGATGGCATTCTTTGTCATTGGTAATAGCATAGCAGAAATTGAAGTATGAGCAATGCTAGGGGGAAAAAAGTAAGCCTTCCTTTTGCTACTAAATTATTTCATGAAAATTAGAATTCGCTTCGACACGTTTATTTAACACGTTGACTGCCCCTGCCTAGTCAACTAGTGATCAATGGTAGCAGAACCATTTTGTTGGGATGGGCAATCAATGTGTTAAGCGATAGCAGAAAATAGTTTTGAGCTTTTTATTTACAATACCGCTTTCAATCGTTTTTAATTTTTAATACCCAGTGTGTAGGACTTTAAGAAGCCTTCGGATATATTCTTCCTTCAATGCATTAATATTTGAGCAATTATATCAGTTGTTACAGACTTTCATGTCTTCATGGTTTACTTACTAGGTTTTTTTTTCTCCGGGGAAAGGAAGGTGAACTTTTCCCTTTCTTCTGGACTTCTCTTCTTTCCAAGAAAATAACCGGCGAACCATGTCTTATTCCCGTGTATAATTCGGCCTGTAGACATCTAATGGGCAAAATGTGTGCCTATCAGACCCTCCTATTAATCACCTTGCGAATTTTTCGATGACACCTCTTAAATTCCATTTAAAGGAAATTTTTATTGTAGGTTACAAAGGAGAGGACATACCCGGACTGGTGGAAGAATACTTGAAAGGTGGACTAATGGTGGACGATTTCGTCACTCAGGAACTCAAGTTTGAAGATATCAATAAGGCCTTCGATTTTCTCCGAGATGGGATCGGGTACCTCCCTCATCACATGCGTTTTACTCTTTCTTTGACCTTTATCGGACGGATTTAAATATCTCGCGTAAGCGCTGACAGATATTTTCTATGAAGGTCGTTAACACTCGCTAACTGAGCAATTAATAACCTAATATCAGAGCATTTTCCCAAAAAGTTGCTATAAAGCATTTGTACATTCAGGCCATTGGACAAATGGCACAGAAGTTGTGACATTCGTCCGATTAAGGTTAAAGTGAGTGCATTTTCTAGCTTTGGCTTATGGTATGCTCTTTCCTATTGGAAAATTTCAGACTCCGCTCCATCGTGACTTTGTGAGGAGGATCTTGAAGATGGTGGAAATAAATCGGATTGCTTTGGAAAAATTCGTTCTTACTCTTTGGTTGTCCTTGTAAATCCATGCAAAATTGATGAGAATTCTCCATCGAGCCCCTGCTATTTTCAAAGAGGAAGGCCCACGGAGATGCAGTTAAAAGGATGAAGTAGGAGTATAAGTCCCTTCATAATGGTGTCTCTGAATAATTTTTTGCATCCGTGCAATCAAATCAAGAATCAGGAAAAATCTGCAATTACACCATGGATCGTGTATTAACCAAAAATTTCCTTGCAAGAACAATACGAAGTTATAACTGTTCACCACCAAGTACGTCTACGAATCGTTTCCAAATGTATCCAGGATATGAATTTAAACAGGCGCAGGATGAAGGGTCAATGATAATCTGATTTTCCCCTGAGAGAAAGTTAAGAATATGTTTGGGTTGGAAAGAAAGTCTTGCAACACTCTCTAAAACTATTTAAAAAAATTTTCAAAGGAATGATGGGCGGGGCTTTGAATTTGTATATGCTAAGATGTTCTCGAAGCTTCTGCCCTCGGGGTATATAAGGCGGCTTCTGCCATTAGTTGGCAGCCAAGGCTCCGATCGAACGAGCAACTCTTCGCCCCATCGTCTACTACGAGTTCCTCGAAGGACACTCTGCGAGAGCCGCCACGGAAAACATCTGCGCTGCAATCAAGGGCAACGTCGTCCACTATTCCACGGTGTCTCGATGGTTCAAACGCTTGGAATCTGACGACACGACCTTCGGAGATCGACCGCGCTCAGGACGTCCATCGACAGTCGATGACGAAGCCCTGCGGAAGACCCCTAAACGCGAAGCCGAACGCCACCACTCGCGAATCGGCGACTACACTTGGAGTCACCCATATGGCCATCGGCAACCATCTGAACGACCTCGGCTATAGGAAGGTTTACTCGACGTGGGTCCCTCATCGGCTCGGCGACTCTGACAAAGCAAGCGGTGTCAGTGTCTGCGAATCACTGCTCCTTCGTCCGCACAGAAAGGACCTTCTGAAAGAAATCGTTACTGGAGATGAGAGCTGGGTCCTCTACGTCAACCATACTCGCAGGAGTCAGTGGCTTCCACGAGGAGAATTGCCACCCCACACAAACCGAAACCAGGGTTCCACGAGAAGGTTCTTCTCTGCTGTCGGTGGGATTCAGAAGGAATGTTGTACGATGAGCTCCTGCCAACCGGTACCACCGTGACTGCCGTCGTCTACGCTGCTCCACTTCAGAAGTTGGCTGGCGTCATTCAAAAAGAACGTCCCAAACGCGACAAAGTTCTCTTGCATGACAACGCTCGTCCACATGTTGCGAAGATGACTCGCCAGACGATTTCGGAACTGGGCTGGGACGTTTTACCCCATCCAGCGTATTCTCCGGACTTGGCCCCTTCCGACTATCACTTGTTCCGAGCCCTCAAGAATCACCTGCCGGACAAGGCCTTCGACGATCAAGAACAGCTCGAAAATGATGTCGGCTGTTTCTTCGCTTCGCAATCGCCAGAGTTCAGGGCAAAGGGCATCGAGCAGTTGGGAACATGTCATATACAACAATGGTCATTACATTGTAGACTGAAATTGCATTTCAATAAAGTTATAACATTTTTAAAAATGTGCGCAATGTTGCAAGACTTTCTTTCTAACCCAATACATTATCGGATCATATTGCATTAGCATTCGCTTAAATTAGTAAATGATTATCTTCATAGCATTAGACCTATCTTAGATGACAAAGCGTTGGCGGTCTGCCCTTTCTTGACTCACGCAGGATGGAAGTTGAAATGCTTCTCGCTTCCCAACCCAAGCCTTGAACCTTGACCCTGCCAGTGAGATAACACTGCATATCGTATCCGTATCTGAGACTTACGAATACTGTCCAAATGAAGTGCTTCTCAGATTATCTTTGAAACGCAGCATGGTATCGAAAAAATATACTGTCAACACCTTTGCCTTTGTTGACTATGAAGGCAAATAGACTTTCAACGCCTCTCTATCCTCCTTCACCTTCCTTCCTCATGAAAAAGGGAAAGATGGAACCAGGAAAAAAGGTCGGAAAATAAATATCTATCCTTTATTCTGGTCCTGTCTTTCCCTTTCCCCAATCTGAATCCGGCTTCCCGATTCGAATGCCCGTATAATATCCTGTTGGGCGAGAAATGAAAGGCCTTTGAGAATGAGTCCTTCGCAACCTTCTGTGGGTCCTATCCCTTCCTCATTTCTTGTAACCCATGCATTCGTTACAGACCCAGAAATATGGGGTGGATTGCATGAAACTGACTCCTGATGAAACCTCGTTTATCGCCGCTAAAGGTGGTTTACAGCTCCATTAGGCTGAAGTCATATTCATGCAAACATCCCATGAATTGGAGAATTCAACAGAAGTCGTTTTCGAAATGAAATTTGAGAATCGGCCTCACGAAAGGGAGGGATGGCAACGTTCACGGAAAATCGGAGATTCGGTCTCGCCTCGCCATCTCTCGGATGAAAGAGGACACAAGTGTTGCGGTGGTTCTCGCAAGGGAACGACGGGCATCGCTCACTGCAATGCCTCCAGCCTGCTGCCGTGAATCGAGGGATTTCAAGCATCCTTGATGGAAATTGGTGAGATTCGTCAGTTCGTCGCCAGTTGCGTTCATACGGGCACTGCAAATAAGAGCATCATCGCACTTTCCTCGTGGATCTCTCAAATAGCAAAATTTCAAAATTGCCGAATGACGTGCTCTTTAGACACTTCTTACATCATCTTTAGTCATTTGAAAGCGTTCACGAATGACGCCAGGAAGACGACAAGCGCGAGAGTTCTTCAAAGGTTCCATTGTTTTCCGGTGTCGCAGTCGCATTGGTAGATGGCAAAACAATTAAAAAGTAAATTCTGTAGGAGCGGGAGCTTGCAGTAAAAAAAAGTTGGTTTCCGAATCATGACCGCTGTTTGGTGCGTGTTCCCTGTCGGAAAACGTTGGGAAAAAATGAAATTGGAGAGAAATGCACTCATTTTTCATAATTAATTCCTAGTCTACAAAATATTGTTGATGTTCTTTCCTTCATTCCTGGTCAAGGAAATTCCTTAGGCAGCGCTGAATTGCAACGGCTACATTTTCCGTAGTATCTATGAGACAACTTGATGAAAAAGGGGCGCAGAAGTTTGATAATGCGCTCCATCTCATAATTGATTATTCGTTCCCAGGGAATTCCTCAGGATTACATTACGATTTCATTTTCAAATTTTCTCCTCGTGTCTCGTTCTGTATGGAGAGTGCATGCAGTATTTGAGGTACCTTTTCTTTCCTTCGCCACGCATTATTATATGAGGGGGGCAGTGAGATTGCGCCCACCAGTGTGGAATGCGTTTGGATTCTCTCGGCTTCACTCCGTCTCCTAGGCCCCTCACAATGCTCATTGCTCCCCGAAATTGTGGTAGAAATGCATGAGGTATTGCAACATTGACGCGAGGATATTTCGCTAGTACTGTGCTACGGTGATCAGCTTTCTCAGCCTCTCGTGACCTAGACGGCTAGATTAAAGACCGAGAGCTCAAAATCTAACTTAGCCGACATCCATGCTGTTAAAGATGAACTATTGCTTGGAGACGTAATGCAAGGTGTCCAGGCATGTTAAACTCGAACTTACCCCTCGCGCATTTTAGTGTACTGAAATTGTTTCCTTACTCCATCATTCACTCACTTGCCATCGGCACTGCATCATGGCATCGAAGAAAAAATTTAAAATAAGCCACAGTAACGTCATGAGAGAGATTAAAGCCATAATGGTGGAGTTAATGCAAGCTATGAAAGGCATAAAAAAGGAAGATGGAACACCTTGTGTCAAGGCAGGACAAGTTGGAGAAAAGGAATGGAAGATCAGAAAGAGTTGGTAGGAAAGAGTACGTGTAGTAGGAAATGAATCGTGGACTTATTTGGTGGTGAATGGTTATAGCTTCATATCGTTCCTGCAAGGAAATGCTTGCTTAATACTAGGGGTGGGTTTCGAACAAGACCTTGAACTTCGTTTCTTGCCAAGTCTTGATGAGATCTCTTCTACCCTTAACGTCCAATCATGTGGAAATAAACTTTTTATTTTTTTTATTAGGTTTTTTCCTCCCCTCATTTTACATAGTTGCAACATCGTTGTAGCGCCCTGCAATGACTGGGGCTCAGCCCGATCACCCCGACCCGACCCGACTTGCGGTCGTCTACACTCTTGAAAAAAGGGGAGCGATTTTTCTAAGGGGAGCGAAAAAAAGAGAGTAAAATCGCTAACTCAAGTTGCACTCCCCTTTCACTCTGGGAAAAGAGCGAATTTGCTCCATCACTAAGGAGTAACATTGCTCTCCTTCACGATGAGTAAAAACGCTCCCCTCAGAATGATGTAGAGAAGTCATGGAAATACGCAATACCCTTATATATACACTCTGGGAAAAGAGCGAATTTGCTCCATCACTAAGGAGTAACATTGCTCTCCTTCACGATGAGTAAAAACGCTCCCCTCAGAATGATGTAGAGAAGTCATGGAAATACGCAATACCCTTATATATTGATACATTGTGTCGCTTTCGCTCTATACAGCACAGGCATTGTCCTACTTTGACTGTATTGATTACAGTACGTCCCAGAGGATGGAACACCTCTTACGGTTCCATGAAGTGTCCGTGATGTCAG